CCCACATGTCAGGTATAGTGTCAGAAGTGTTCTTGGATGAGGCCACATTGGGAATTTGCCTCTTCCAATGCATTATTGCAATGGGGGCCTTGTAAAGGCTTAATTTAGACAAGTGACAGTTCCAAATCCTAACCCGTCGTTATTAAACCAGCTGGAGAAGATGGAAGCACTCATTCTGGTGCCTCAGGCTACATATTAAGAGGGTTTTTTGTCAGTGTCTGGTAGGAGTAGGGTGCAAACTGACATATGGGCAGCTAAGAAAAAGAGCATGCATTTACACAGACAGGCATAGCACAGTGTGTGTTTCTGTAGCCTTGCCTTTTGAAGCCAAATGGTCTCTTTCCTTTCTTTCCCCCACCCATGTGTATTTTTCATTTATTTCCCCCTTATCCCTCCCCCCTTTCCTTTCTCTCTCCATCTCTCTGTCTCCTCCTTTCTTTCTCTCTGATTATCAAAGAAATAATGCTGTCAACTTTCTAAAACTTTCAAATGTGGGTTCATGAGTTAATTTGTTAAAAAATAAAAAGGAACTCTCAGCTGAAATATGAGCCAACTTTTGACCAGAATTAAATATTAGTTGTAGTTCATAAGAAATAATCTCCATTTTCTCCATATTCTACAAGAAATAAACATTGTCATTGACAGTACATGAGTGACCAAAGAACCTCCTTTTGCCACATTCATTAAGAGACCTAAAATAAGCAATCTTTGTATCCAATAGAGTTTTTAGCAGTCTGAGAAATCATAGAATTTCTCACAACAGTATTACTCGGTGTATTTTTATTAAATCCAAGGGCCTATTCAGATCTCAGTAGGTTCTATAGTTGCCATTTAATACAATTTTCTGAGTTAGAGTTAGCTTCATGTTGTACTCAAATAGTCATTCACCCAACAGTCATTTAAACACTTGCTCTGAGCCAGGAGCTTGGCTAGGTTCTGAGAATATAGACAGGATCCCTGCCTCAAGGACCTTGTATCCTCTAGGAGGAGAGAAAGATGTCAACAAATACAGAAGCCACTTGAATAACAAGGACTACAGTGGAAGCCTGTGCAGGGTAGGAAACAAATCAAGGAAACCAGTAACTGGGCAGGGGGGATGAGAGATTGAAGCATTTCTGAGATATGGACAAATCCTTAAATCTAAGGATTTGAACTGAATCATGAATATTTTTATTTCTGTACCACAGGAAGTAGGGGAGTCAGGCTACAGAAATGAGTGAGAGAGAAAATCCTAAGATAGATCTTGGAAGGCTTTCCTACATGTCAAGGCTCTTGGAGTCCTTTATGATGACCCACTGAAAGGTTATAGTCTTTACAAGTGGCATTATCAGTTTTATATTTTAGCAAAACCCTCTGCTTAAGATTTTGAGAAGATGGATTGGTAGAGGAAAAGTTTGAAGCCTAAAGTCCAGTTAGAAGATCATTGCATGAGTCAAGACAGGAGACAAGAGGACTGGAGTAGTGCAGTAGTGGTGGTGACAAAGAGAGGGAGAAGACATGGTGGAGTTTCGAAGCCACAAGATGCTCAGGTCTTGATTGCTAATTGAATATAGGACGCAAGGGAAAGGCTTATGGTACCAACCGTCGTGTTCTTCTATATTGCTCAGGTAAAAAAATCTTTATTTTTATTCTGAGGAYGGGAATACAAGAAGAGAAGTTGATTTTTTTTAATAAGACAATGAATCCAGTATTTATCCAAATGTATCAAAAAAGCATTCTTGCTGGAAATACCTTCGTGTCAACTCCTGATTAGTCTTAGAACCATTATAACATCTGAAAACAACATGGAGTGTAATTCTTTTTATATACTTATTCATTTTAAGAAAAAATATAACTTCACTACCAATCCACCAAACTTCTTAAAGGTGTAATATAGTGGCTTTTGAATTCATGAGAAGCAATGCTCATTTGTCAATATAATAATTTGGTATGTAAACATGGGCTTTGGTCTTGGTGTAGTTAAAAGTAATGTATTACCTATCAAGATGGAGAGCCAAAGGTTCTTTATTTTTTTTTTTTTTTAGTAATTGTAAGTCAAGGCTTAAGTATATAGTCTTGCAGTGTGCCAACATAAAACTTCCCAGCTTTTTGTGAAGATTGTATTATCAGCACATTGAGTATTTCCACACTGTTAACTTATTTTTTCCAATCATTGAATGCAATAGTTTTCTGAACTTCTTTTTTCTGTTGTATCTGAATTTTTTTCAGAATTCTAATCCCCAAAACATTTAATGCATCTAAGATACAGTGTCATGTATTTGTCATTTGCAAGATTTTTTGTTACCTAAAATAATTTACTACATTTTTAGGTCTTAAAAGATATTTTAAGGCATCTTGATGTGCTGATCTTAGGCTAATAAACAGACAAATAATAGTTTAGGGTAACCTAAGTAAAGTAATAATTGTATTAGAATCTGTAGTTTAACATGAGGCTTTCATATCAAATCCTTTTTCTACTAGCCAGTGACTAAATAACCTTAAGAAGATATCCTAAACTCTCCATGTCTCAGTTTTTTATTGATAAAATTTTTTAAGTAATATTTTTTTCCTCGGAGAGTTTTTGTGATAATTAAATGAGAGAATTTACAGTATATCCTAACACTGTGCTTGGCAGCCCAAAAATGCTAAGGAAGAGGAGAGAGAAAAAAGTTTAAGTAAATATTCAATAAATTAGATTTACGTCTACTTTTAAATTTGCCTATCACAAGGAGGTAGAAATTTTGAATAAGAATTTTTATCCTTACAGTTTACCATCCTCATTTAGGTGGCATTTGGTAAAAGTAAGTGAATTACATGATATAAAGTACCTTCTATTTCTATGATTGAATCTCCAGGAATAAATAAAGCCTTTTTCAGTGTGGAAACATCATTAAAACAGCATCAGTCATCTAAATAACACATTTATCATTAAATATGATTATTCCCACTTTAACTGGAAATTTTTTAACATCTAGATGAAACAGAAGAGATGTTTTACTCATCAAAGAAAGAGAAGAAAATTGTATTGCATGTCCTCTGGATTTATAATTATTTCCAATACTGCTTTCACTTGTTTGTAGTTGTGCAGCCTCTGACAAATTTCAGAATCACATAAATACATTGCAGTCATTTTCATATGCATGCCATGGTGGTAAATGTCATGTTCTTTTCCAAAGTTTTAAAATAGTGGGCTTTTAGTAYAGCTTTGCCCTAAAGAAGATACTGTGGAAAACTTACATAATTGGTCGAATATTTTATAAGACAGGACTATTGAGGTTGCTAGTAATTAAATTTAGTAACTATCAGTATGTGTAGCTATCTGAATCCCTAAAAGTAAATGAGGCTGCTGAGAAACATTTTCCCCTCTTCCACCTCTAGCCACCTCAACAGAGGCACCATCACCCTATATCTTGTCAATTGCAGTAAAAAATTGAAGCTTCTCTGCCCTAGTCTTGGGCATGTAACTTCATTTTCCACACAGCAGCCAGAGAGGATATATCATGCCACTTCTCTGCTTAATAATAACAAATTAAATCTGTTAAATTTAATTAAATCTTAAATCTTCCCATTGCACTCAATAAAGCCCAAACTCCTCACCAAGCCATAGGATCTAGATACTTCTATGAAYACTCTCCTCCCTCCCTTACTCATCCTTCTAGAAGAATACTGGCTTATTCCTTCCTAAAGTTTTGTGCTAGCTTTTTCCTCTTCTTGGAAATCTCCCCTCCAAATTGTTCATGGAAACTCTTCTATTACTTAAGTTCAATAAAAAATGTTCTCTCTTCAGAAATATCTTTCCTGCCCATGGGGTATATTTTTTTTGAATGGACACATTTTCACTTTGAGAAATATTTGCAATATCTAGCACTACTGACCAAAAAAAAAAAAAAAACAAACAAATTCTTTTTTTCCTGTTATTTAGCATTACTTAATATTTTCCTACAGAACCTCCACTCTTCCCATGTGTAACATAGGCTCATACTGGCCTAAGTTTCAATGAAATTGTATCCTATGCATAGAAAGAATCCATCTCCTGAAGGAGATGGGTGCACTTGGTCCAGTAGTCTTCTGCAGCACAAATCTTAAGACTTCTCCAGTGGCTCTATGTAGAAAGTCCCAAACTACAGTTCATTAAAGGCTAATGAAAATTTGAAAACAGTGTGTCTGATGTACTGTTTTTAAATCCAGATGTGTAGGGAAAGAGGAGGTACTGGGAAATGAAATTAATCAAATTAGTTGTTATATTGTGTGCATGTATGAATATGAATCTCTGCATCATGTATTATTATAATGCACCCCAAAATTTTAAAATAAATAAATAAATATATGTGTGCTGGGGCTGGGCATGTGTCTCAGAGATAACTCTTGTCTAGCATGGGAGAGGAACTGAGTTCGATGCTTAGCACTGCCAAAACTTCATTGTTTTAAAAAAAATACATATGTGCAAAATTGGATGAAAATCCACAAATGAAAATCCACAAATTATTAAAAAGTTCATGGATCAGAACAGATAACTCCAAGGCCACAGTCACCTTCCTCGTGAATGAAGCAAGTGTAGCTCTTAGAAATAATGAAATTGGCTTCAAAGAATTGGACAGATTTAGCACTTCTGTGATATGCAGCCTAGCACATGGATTCCCTCTGCTTAATTGCTGCACTTACAACGTGTCAGGACCTTCTGGGGAGCCAGCAGCGCCCTGGAATATCCAGTAAGCGGTCATGTGCCTATGTGTTAAAACTCTTAGAAAGTACAAACATACCACCTGCCAGAGACATTTTTATAGAACTGTAATCTGTTTTTTGTTTTGACAGCCATGTATGAAAGGCTAAGAATACTTTGGGGTCAATTTCCATGATATGATATTCAATATTGGGAGAGAAATTATTATTACTATGTTATCTATCAGTTCTCCTGGATCAGACTCTTAAAAAAAAAAAAAAAAAAAAGTTGTTTTATCCCTATTTTCCAAATGGCTAATACTCTTCCTCTGAAAAGCACTGTTTCTGTTTGGCTATTTCAGCACTTTTATGTAATGGAAAATTTCACAAACACTTGCAAGAGATCTTTGTGCCTTTGGTTGTCCGCTACGTGGATCTCATGGAGTCCTCCATCGCCCAATCAATTCACAGAGGTTTTGAGCAAGAGACATGGCAGCCTGTCAAGTAGGTATCTTACCTAGTGTCCACAGAGCCTCTGCCTCTCAAGCCTGACCTTATGACTTTACACCTGGCCATCTGTAGTTATTGCTTATGGTGGTCCCTTCCCACGTTGTTTGTTTCTTTACAGGAATATCGCCAACAGTCTTCCCAATGTAGCTCTTCCAAAAGTTCCAAGTCTGCCTCTTAATCTTCCACAGATTCCTAGCCTTTCTACTCCTTCGTGGATGGCTTCTTTATATGAGTCCACGTGTGTATCCCTCACTTATTTCCTGGTGGTGTGTGTTAGCTACTGCATGGCCTGGGCTGTGTTTGTGCAGATGTGTTTAGATTGCATGGCATTTATCATCGTTAGTTGAAGAATACTATAGTTTTGGTTTTATTTGTTTGAGTCTTTTAAGCTATTAAGCTAAGCTTAGCATATCGATGATAAATGATGCAAGTTGAAAAATGCAAAACCACACTGGTTTGATGTAATTCACATGTGATCTACAGAACAGGGGTCATTTTGTGATCCAGTTTTGTCAACTCTTCCCTAAGTGATAGAACCAAATCCTCCTTGTACAGACAGTGTGATAAGTATATTTTAAGGGTACTTAGGTTTAGCTTTCTTATTGCCCACATATTTATCTTGTGCATGTAGAAAGCCATTATAAAAATGTTTTCAAGAATATATTTTTGGGCTTGGATTTGGCTCTGTGGTAGAGCACTTGCCTAGCATGTGTGAGGCATTGGGTTCAATTCTCAGCACCACATAAACACAAATAAATAAAAGTTATTGTGTTTATCTACAACTAAAAAATATTTTAAAAAGAATATAATCTTTTCTGTTTATCTTAGTCTGAATGTTAAAATAACAGTATTGCACCTTGCAGGAAATTCCTTTATTTCCAAGCAGTGGGAAGTTCTCCTTTTGTTCCTTTAATGTATTAGTTGGCACACATTGTTATTTTAAAATATTCTTTATACCATTAAAAAGCCATATTTTTAATTCCACATGGTGATAAGTCTACCTGTTGCAATTCAGAAACTAAGAGTCATTAAAGTAAAGTTACTGGCTTTGAAATTGATCAGGTCTGAATTTAGATCTTAGGTTCTTAATCATAAATCTTTCTTAGCCTCACTTTCTCAACTCTAAAATGGTCATGGCACCTAATTCAAAGATATTTTTGTAGAGACTGGAAAAAAACTGTAGGGAAATTCCTGCATGTCCTAGGCTTTCAATAAATGATGACTACAATAGGCACATCCTAAGTACCTAGTAAATAATTATTACTACTACTACATATTATTATTATAACTATCACCAGTCCTTCTCATTTTCAATTATAACTGTAAAGGTTTAAAAACTATGAGCCTTACAGCAAGCAAATGAACTAAGTAACTAGTTCACAAATATAAAAATCTCAAGTAGGCAATAACATCTTTTGCCCAAGATATCACATGAAGTCAGAAAGAATAAATATTAGAAGAAGAAAAATAATTTCCATTTATTGAGAGCTTACTGTGTTCTTGGGACAGTGCCATGTTCTTTACCTACAACTCTATAAGGTAAGTGCCATTATCTCCATTTTACAGTTAAGAAACTCTAGTCACAAAGACATTAAGAAAGAAACCTTGCCCAATGTCTCACATAAGCAAATGACAGGCAAAATTTGAAGTCAGTTTGCTTGATTACAAAGCCCTTATTTTTATTCAATATTTTTCTGCTTTCAGAAAACAGATTGTTTAAAAAGTTACTAGCTTTCTCTCTATCCCACCACCAACTGTCAACTCTATACCCAAACTAGTAAACACAGACAAGAAAACACAGGGAAAGACCAAGAAAGAGAACAGCTTGCAAAACAGCTTGGCAATATTTCTCCAAGTTAAACATCACCACTGGACTTATATTGCCAGGATATTATTTTACATGTGAATCTTTCTCTTGTAGGCAAATGCTTTGGGCCACTGTAGTATGTAGAGCAGTGTGTGTGCGTGCACTCAGGAATTAACTGCAAAGTGTAATGAACCTTTCTAACTGTATGAGTTTTGGTACTTCTTTATGCTGTTGTATAATTTAATTCATCTTCCTCATTCTTAATCAATTTCACACCTTGATTTTGACCAAGAACACTATTGTGGAGGGTAATCTGTAAAATTTAGATTTTTCTTATTGCCATTTTTTTTTTTTTAGCTTTGAGGTTTATGTGAACCACGAATCCCTTATTAATAAAACCCCGTTTTAAAATGCTAAGAATCTCAGGAGAGGAATTATGACAAATTGAGGCTTTATAAATACTTTTTCTCTCCCTGTTCTAGGCAAATTTTAAAAAATATGTTCTACAAATCAATCACTATTATTTTTACCTACCAAGATTATCAACGTTAGGTTCTTTGTCATGATGTCCAGAATTCACATAATGTTATGATGTCATTGCAGTTGGCTTTTTGTTGTTTTATTGTAAAATTTTAAATAAGAAGAAATATTTCCATTTCACATAAAATACTGAAGATATAACTCTGGATTTAGATAAATTTATTTACATATTTATATAATGTATAAATTTATATAATATATAAGCATTTATTTATCTTTTTTATATTTTATAAAAACTTCATCCCCAGTCTGGAGATGTAGTTCAGTGGTAGAGCCAACCTAACACATGCAAGGCCCAGGGTTTGCTCTCCAACAYCACAAAAATAAATAAAGAAACAAAAGCAAATATGGGTTTGAAGAGACAGACCTACCTAGTAGCACATGACTCATGCTGAGGAGCTCCTTTAAAGAAAAAAATTGATGTTCTTCCACATCTTTTTATATATAAAATCTTTATTTTCAGTATTTTTGCTTTAGAAATGAATACCAGTAAGGTAAATTTCCTGCAGGTATATTTAGGAGATCTCTTGGAGTCCATTATTCATATTTGAATTACTTTAATCTGTTAATAATGCCTTTAGGAATAGGTCACTGATTAGAAATAATTTAAAATAGAAAAGCTCTGAATAAATTGCAGGTTACAGGTACCAACTCCAAAGAAAGCCTATTTACATTTCTTCATCTATCTATTTAATTATAACAAACACTTGTTATCTTAATTACATTCCCAATTAAGCACATTGTCCAAAATCTTGCCGTAGCATAAACAGAAGAAAAATATCCATATTTTCTTCAAAGATTTAATTGTCATGAAGAAATTTTTAATAGCAATCTGCTTTTACTGCTCAAGATTTTGCTTTGGTGGTGATTTATGTTGTCAAATAATATACATATTTCAAGTTTTGTTTCTCCAAAGTAAGAAAATATAAGAAGCAGATTTGTTGCTTCACTGATTATATCCAATTAAAACAGAGCTCCTTTAATCTACCAAACTGTACACTATAGACACATAGGGATTTTGCCTGGCCATTTTTTTCTCTTATATTTATTGTGCATATGCTAAAAGGAAAAGGAAACGTCATGTCTATTCAAACATTTTTCACACCAGCATCGTCATGTATTATCTGGTTCTTTTATTTAATGGTCCACTTGGTCCATATTCAGGTGAGGAGACTTTAGGTGAGTAAAGTTCTGTGCACTATTTTGCTGTGATTAGTCCCTTGAGAACTTAACTCTGAGGACAGCTTGGCTAGACCAGGAGATCACAGAAATTGCCATCAGCATGGGAGGGGGAAAGCAACGGAGCTGAGACACTGCCAGGGTACAGGGCAGAAACATAGCTTTTAATTAGCCAGAGCAAGAGGTGATTTCTCTAAACTCGCTAATTAAGATATGTTTAGCTAAATAATATGATTATTTAAAATCGCTTTATTTTTCATAAAAGTTTTCCACTGTGCCCTTATAATAAATGAGTTTATTTCTTCTGTTTTCTTTTGCAAAGTGAAAATACAAATTTTAGTTTAGTATCTATGAAACAATGGTTAGAAAGCTAAGGACAAATGAATCAGACAGCAGCTTTTTTTTTTTTTCTCTTTGTTCTCTTTACAGTTCAGTTTCATTATGTTTTAATGTAGGAGTATTTTACTTCCAAAACATCTCTCTATTAACCTATATACTTACATAATGGAAAGTGCCAGCATTATCATTTGCCCAAATATTATATGAACTCCTCTAAAATTACCTTCATGAGTCGTGTGAAAATACAGTCCCTTAGAGTAATTTTACCATAGTAGTGAATGTAGAGCATATTTTGGCTCCACAGTTGGACATAAGGACTTGAAATGCATGAATCTGCTCTGACTTCAGAGCACCCTGAATGTCTTTTCTCTGTTAAACCACCTTGACTAAGGTAGATTCTAATTATGAGCTAGAATAGTCACAAAGCACTTCAAAATGAAAATAAAGGTTTGCTTCCTTACCTGGCCTGTCATTTTATTTTCAGTACCTGTTTCATTTCTACCTATAATGGAGTGATAGTCTAAGGTGTGTGCTATATACCTATAGACAGAAGCCATCATAAGATAGGCACATGTGCAGGACTAAAGAATAAAGCCAAAGATGCTGTCATATGAATTTCTTGCATAAAATATACATTTTAGAATTTCTAGGAAAAAATATTTGTGTATTTATCCTACAGATTGGTAAAGAATCTTAAAAATGTTGTTCTTATATATACACAATTTATTTCCTTTCCCTAGTTAGCTATCCTTATCCTCCTATCCTTTTTTTTTAATCTTACTACTGTATTTATTTATATTTTATTCTCCTTATTAAAATTAGAAAGGAAGAATTAGAAGGCTGGACAAAGAAATATAGGGTCACTGGATATTTTATGTGGTACTTTTTTGCTAACAGCAATAGATACAGAATGGAAAACAACAAATTGTTGGTCCACATAGTTAATGTTGGAAGTGCATGATGTTCTTCATTTCTCCTTTTTTTTTTTTTTTTTTTTTCTAGCAATGGCTCAGCAACATCAGAAGACCTTTTTTGGAAACTTGATGCACTGCAAATGTTTGTCTTTGATCTACACTGGCCAGAACAAGAATTTGCCCACCATTTAGAGCAAAGACTTAAACTAATGGCCAGTGATATGATAGAGGCCTGTGTCAAAAGGTAGACATGTATTTTCAAGTTGCTGCTTAATGTGCTAGCACCCAAGTACCTGTTATATGATTGTCATATGAAAGAATTCAACATATAATGCTATTTCCAAAATTTCATGGGCCTTAGTTTCCCTCACCTAAATTCTGGAAACCCATGTAATTGACTAAATTGACCTGACACTTTTTTTTTTCAGGTCTCCCATCCATTGTCCTAATCAGTAGCACCCATAACATTTTTTGTTGTACTTATTATCTCTCTGGGAATACTGTACTTTAAATTCCCAAGGTAATATCTCGTGAGACATATGGAAAAGGTCTGTTGAGTTCTTAATACATTATGTACTGTGTCTGTGTACTGTGAAATGGCATGGCAAACTCAAAATATGATCAGCATTTTTTCTGGGATTGCTCAATGTTTTCAGGTATTCTCTGTCCACACCAGATGAATGTCATGTATCTACTTACATTCTTTAGCACTTAACCAGAAATAAGTCATTGGACTTTGGATTCTTCCAAATCTGCTTTCATTTTTTTTAGAAGTTTCTGCAAAATCAGCATTGCATTCTAATTGGGTAAATATTATTTTTTCCATTGCCCTTGTTTAGGATATGTTCAAGATATGTTCAAGAATCCTGTAGGGCAGCATATTGGAGTAACAGTCTAACACTGGTTGGAGCAATTGAATATTCCTGAATTCATTAAATCAAGAAAAATCTTGTCTTGTTTAATGGCTATGGATTAAATTAAGGACATGCCATGGATTAAATTATTTCATATTTTTAAATCATCTGTGATTCTGATGCCTCAAATCTGTGGATAGTCTTTGGATACTTTAGCAAAATCAAAATTTTCTATTATTCACTTTATTCCCCAAACCCACCTGCAACTTCAAGTGTTTAAAAAAGAATTTAAGTGACATAAAAGAATTACATGTTCTCTGTTTTACATCTTATAGTCCAGACTTGCACATTTTTTAATTTGGTGAGCCCTCACATAGAGGATTTATTATACTTGAAGGCAGAGAAGTAAATTATTTTTCTACTTGGAAATTAATTCAGGCAGTTAAGTGAATGTATGAGATTATTTCCCATTAAGTGGGATACACTAGATATAACAAAGAGCTTCATTTGAGTAGCAATATTGACCCAGTAAAGTTGACAGCCAAATACCACTTGGTAAAGCACATTTTAAAAGGTTGTTCTTACATGTAACATTGCAGTCTGACCTTTTATTTGAGACACCTGAAAAGCACATCCCACCTCCTCCACCAGGTCCCAAGCTCTGTCACACTGCTCCCTCCTTATWTGCATGTTTTAAATTATCATCTTATAGTGTTGATTTCACATTAACAAAATAGGTGGGACATATGTCAGAATTTCTTACTCTGAATTCATGTTTTAATAACTAGAACAAGAGCTGCATTTGAACTCAAGCTACAAAAGGCAAGCAAAACAACTGACTTGCGCATTCCAGCCTCTGTGTGCACAATGTTCAATGTATTAGTCGATGCCAAAAAACAAAGCACCAAACTCTGTGCCCTGGATGGAGGACAAGAGGTAAGCAGAGTGTGTGATTCACATGAGACTGCAGCACAGGGAGTCCTGGCAGGAGGGTCCTTGGCTCAGGTCACCTCCTCCTGCTTTATATAAATGTTGCCTAAAATTTTACAAGTGGCCATGGGATTTCAGATATGCAGTTTTAGGTGTTTTGTATTTACATAAACCTTGCTTTTTACAAGCAAATGAGAGAGCTAAAAAGCTACCTGCTTTGTTTAAACAAATGTAGACTATCCAGAATTTGCATCCATACAAGCAAGCCACAAAAAATAGCATATGAAACACTTTATTTACACAATAGTTTCCATTTTTTAAAGATCAAGTAGAAATCCACTTAAAAAGTAGGCCTAGTTCTTATGCACATATGTTCTATTTATTTTAGTTTGATTTATAATTTGTTTGTTTTTTAATTCACAAATACAATTTCATCTTATGCCATGATTTGTTTTGGTTGTGAGTGGTGATTGGGTTAAAATTATTTATTTTTCTTATATTTATATCTGTTTAAGTTGACATTTTGTTGCTTTTTTTTCCCCATTATAATTACTTTTTCATCATTTCTTTATTCTTCCCATATGTTCTCTTTCTTCATCATTTTTTTTCACCCATGGCATGATCCAGGTTGGTAGTCAATGGGTAAGTCTCTCTCACTTTTTTTTTTTAGGAAAAGCACATTCATTTTCATTTTAATTGTTATTTTTTTAGAATTGTAAATTTTTATGTTTATATTTTAAAATTAAAATAATATAATTAATTACATTTTCAGGGTTTTTACTTCTGTGTGTGTATACAAKGTTAACAGCTTACTGTAACCTAGAAATAGCCCAAAGACAAATTAAAATATATGTAAATACTTAACACCTTAAATAATACCAAGGAAAATGTTTCTTGCCTATTAGGGCTGCAGAATCTAAAAATTACCCTTAGATTTTTTAAAGATAAAATATTTAAAGCAAAATGAACTTGCCTTTCTTTCAATGAAAATCTAAATAAATTTAGATGCAGAGTGACTATTAACAGTTTCATGCATATATTTACAGTATATATTTTCATATATAACAGAAGAATTTACAGTTTGGAACTTTATATGATATATAGCATATTTCAGGAGAACCCCTAAATACTACTATCAGGAAGATACACCCAAAGTTGTTTCATTACTGCTGAACCCAATTGTGGATGTCAGGTTCAAGTCCACGAGTAACAACTCACTCTCAAACTCAATAAGAAATACAGGCACACAGGTGACAAGCACTGTTCTCTGGTTAAATGATTCTTATAATCAACAAAGGTAGTGGAGAGACTTTTGCCCTTGATGAAAGGTCTTCTGCAAGTATCACCCAGGTTCTTATTTCCACACACACTACATGGTTTCAAAACCTTCATGCATACTGAATTGATTAAATTACATTATTTGTTTTGTTGTTGTTGTTGTTGTTGTTGTTAGTCAAGATGTTTTAATGTCCTATGAACAGGTTAAATCTTATAAGTCTTACAGCTGACACCTGGATGTCAAAGGCAGGGCCATCTTTACTAAGCTGAAAGTTTTCATCCAAGAAAAATGTGTTAGCTAATTGTGAAAGTAGATAAGAAAGCACACTATCTGTAAGTTTCATACTTACTAACTCCGATATTGACATTAGCTATTTGCCCATAGTTTATATTTGCGTGTACATACTCATAGTTCATTCTTTGAGCAATTCGGTAATGAAAATGGATTTCTAATACCATTTTGTACAGCCTTATGAATATAAGTGACTGGCACACAAGTGTTGTAGAATGTTTAGTAATTATCATTCTCTGATCATTTACAAACGATTTATTATCTCTAATTATCTGAATGAGTAGGCAGCTGGCTTAGATACCTATGGCGCTAATCACCCTTCATGTTTTTCAGTACCTAAATGTGAGCTTTTGTCTACCTGAGTATATTGTCTTAAGTCTCTTCATAAGCCCATTCTTTTCTCATCCTGATTATAGAATCATCTTGCTTCTTCCCATGAACACTGGGTTTATTCATTGGTTCTTATTTCCATACACACTACAGTACCTGGTACATAATAGGCACTTAGTAAATATTTATTGAATGTATGAACAGACTGCATTGTTGTCACTGCTTTGAAAATCCACCCCTGTAAGAAACAACTCACTCTCAAACTTAATAAGAAAAACAGGCACACACGTGACAAGCACTGTTCTCTGGTCAAATGATTCTTTACATTAATAGGTGGATGGTTTTGAGGAGTAATCTACTGTTTATTATGTCTGCACCTGTACCTTCTCACCAGAGACAATTAGTTCCCCACAACTTTCACACAATTAATATAGTTCAAAATGTGCAGGTGTAAAACCCATTAGCAACCCTGAAAAGTGGTAAACAAGAATTTCAGTGCAAAAAAAAAAATGAAAAAAGGATTATATAATTTATTTTTTTTTTTTATCTTCAGTAAATATACTCACCTAATTGCACAGGCTTTTCCTCTCTATATGTGCTAAGTTTTGAAATCTTGGCACTAGATACTTAGCCAATTTGGGACCTGGTAAAAATATATACTACATAGTTGAACCTAGCAGAGATCATTTCTAAATTAAAAAGAAATTACCTCTCTGAAGTATCTAGTAAATTTGTTCTATTGCCATTGCTGACGTGAAAGCCTTCCCTACACCTTGTCACAATGCAGCCCCTTCTCTGCTCCTAAATTACAATTCTGTTTCCTTACATGCCATGTGAGGATGCAAACATGCTCTGCCAGACTCAGAACAGGGTTTAATGGAGTGATTAGTGAGTGAATGATCTGCTCATGTGACAGCTGTGGGTAATGAGTCAGCAGTCTCAGGCCAATCCCTCAGGGACAGATGTTGAGATCACAAACCACCACCGTGTTTAGAATCCTTGTTATCCATAGCTGCAGAGAAGCAGATGACTGCATGGGCTTCAGGCATTCACCTGCTCTCCGAGTCACTTCATCCCATGGTGCAGTTGGCTGAGGATAAGAATGAGAACACATTCATGAGGCAATTCAGGGGAACAGGGGGAATCCCTGCTTTTACAGTGTTTGTTCTCAAGTAAATACTTCCATTTCTAGAACTAACAATTCAGGGCTTTCAAAAATGCTTCCCAAGAGAAGAACCAAAATCTTTTTGTAAGAAGGCTGGGTTCCACTGGCATTAATTAGTTTCATTCCTTGAGTGTTTGTATGACAACAATCAGGAGAAGCAATGATATTCACCTGAGTATGGGGTGGGAGGGGGCAGTCAGGATTTCAGATGCATCTGGACTTCATTAAGTGAGGAATCCTTCTTGGTTATTTTAATATAATTCAGAGTCATTCGCTAAAGAAGTAGAGTTGTAACAGTTTACTTTTGAAGGTGGATGTGGAGAGAGTTAGTTTAAGAATGAGTTGGAGTCTACCAAAGCTATGATAGGTAGAATTGGCAATCCAATTTGGAATATTCTAAGAATTTTATAGGTTTTTATTGCTGGGGACAAAACCTGCCAAATTTTTATTGATCATTACTATGTGTTCATATAAATGAAAAAAATCTGTCAGTTTTAGTTTAGGCAATATAAGTATCTTTGCTGATAAATTCTGGTTTTTGTTATTTGTAATATCTTGTCTCTGAAAGCTATCCAGCTCTTCTGATGAACAATTTTCTAACTTACTTTTTTTTTTTTTTTAACTACATATGACATCCATGGCTGTTATCTTTGCAGAATACACAAATATACAATAGGACTAATTAGGCCCTATCCTGACCCATGCCCCTGGCCACCTCCATCAACTGTGCAGATAGAGTATATTCTGGAAGTTCCCAACAGTTTTAATATTAGTAAAGTCAGATCTAAACAGATAAATTTACAATAGCAGAACCCCATATTATAAAAACCTATCAAACCTCATTTTATTTGGGTTTACCCTTTGGGTAATATATTTAATATCTGTATTTCCTTGTTCTTTCTTTTTCCTTTTGTATTAGTGTGTGTTTATTCTCATTCTTCCCATGTGTCCTCCTCCTTCCTCCCTCCCCCTTTCTTTTTTTTATATTAATATATTATTTTATTTTTACTTTGAAACATATTGCCAACAGACTCTACAATCTAGAAAGCAGACAATACTTAAAGTCAATTCTCAACAACAGCTTATTTCAATGCTATGTTTATGTAAAGAGAAGTGTGAAAATATTAGCTCAATCTCTGAGGGTCTAAGTCATTTACCTTCTAATTCTGTACTCACCTTAGATATCTTTTGCCTATTTAAATACCTGTGAAAAAACTGAGAATCATTTATACTCAAGTCTTTGTTGAAACTTGAGGATCATATATGATTAGAACCTTGGCAGAACTATTAAAAGAGATTTTTCAAATTAGGGCTGTAGATACTAAACCCTCCCTCCATCTTTCTGTTTATGGCTAGATCAGATAGCCAAGAAAGCAACAACCCAAGAATATATATTATTGGAGAATTTCCTGGCTCCTAGGGGCCATTGACTTTCCCTACTTTTCAACAGAATGGGTATAAATTAATTCTTTAGTAACTTATCACTTGATTTTAAGAATTGCCAGAATTAATCCAACCAAAATTTAACATGTGGAAGCACTGTTAGTTTATATCAATAGCTTGATATTTTATTACTTTTGAGTTAAAAATTTAAAAAGCACAAGTCAAGCTGACATTGAGGCCAAGCCTATTTAAGAACCCATTTGGAGATCTGAGAGTCTCAATCCCTTTGTTTGGGGGCCAATTTCCATGTCAGAGGGAAGTGAGGAGCTTGAAGACCATCTCCTGGGTCCCTTTCCTATCCTACCCCAAAGAGGAGCCTGGGCTGGTATTTCATTTCCTCTTGGTACACAGACAAACCAGATCTGTAGCCAGAAGGATAAGAAAGGAGAGTTGACAGAGCTCATTTACATAAGCTCCTTGCCACCCAGTCTGCTGTACAGATTCAGCTGGAGCTGGAGGCCCTTTATGCAAGTGTGACTGTCGGAGCTTATCCTACCAATCATTCTAGACACTGGCGTTGTTCAGCTGGTGTCAGATGTGTTCCCGTGATATATCCTGCGTGACTCAGAACATTATGGATAACTGAGGCCAGAGCAGAACTTAACTTCTAGTCAGCTTGCTGAGGCTTTTTCTTCTTCCTTTTTCTTTATACTGTCTGCTTTTCAAGCTTTTCCAAAAGCCAAAGCACTACTGCAACAGAAATTCTCCTTCTGTTTCTATTCCATTTGTCCTCTGGGAAGCATGTATGTGGGCACCTGTGAGGCTTTAGGTGAGCAAGACAAGCATCACTGGAACAATGATGGAAAAGTTCCATGTCCATATATGTAGCTGATTTCAGACCACTGTCATTATACATGCACACTCATGCTCAGAAAAAAAGAAAATAATTTAGTAGCTCCAAAATTATGCTTCCTATTTATGCAGGTGGATGATGACCACTTAGAACTGCCAGAGCCCTTGAGCAAGCAGGGATCAGTCCTAAGTATTCCAAAGCAGGCCTAAGTTGATGTTTTGTTCTGTGTGGAAACTTTGAGACATGTTTTCAGAAGAAAAAAAAATAGCTTTCAAAAACTTACATCTTAGGAAGCCATTCAACCAGCAGCTGTTAAGTTGGTCTAATGTTTATACTGACCTGAGTACTTTTACTCCATGCATTATGTTAGCTGTTCCAAGAAGCCTTGAACCATCAAGATAGGGTTAGTCTTTACAAGTCACATTTTCTGTGAAGTGGCTATTGGGGACAATCTGCTGTCAGATAATGCTTCCAAAGGAAGAATTACTGTTTAAATGGATGTGCCTTCGCATGCCGTGGAAGCCCAAGTTCCTGCCAATTTAAGAAGGTAGCCCACTACTATTCTCTAAAGAAAAAAAAAGTCTTTCAGGTTTATTTAAAATACACCTTTTTTTTTTTTTTTTTTGTATTTATTCCAAGGCATCTTTTTCATGAGGAAGCTGCAATAAAACTATGGGGAGTGAGTGCCTGTTTCATTCCACCTTTTATGGCCTATTAATTTGTTACCATCTATTCACCTTTGTTGATGAAATTTTAAGTTTGCCCTTGCTTGAGCATATTGTAAGAATTGTATAAACTGCTGCTCCCCGGCTGACAAAAAGTTCCTTTTAGAGAGAACAATTGGGAGCTCATTTTATTTCTAGAGCACATTTAAAATAACTTATGAATGAGAGTTGTCAGACATGAAATGCTGTATTAATTAAATCTTTAGAAAAAGATTTTTTTTTTTTTTTTTTTTTGCTTCTCTAGCTAAACCAACCATTTAGAAAAATACACAGCCAGGCCACCTTAATTATGGAGGAGGAGACAAAAAGTATCCTTCACATTCCTACGCCTGAATAAGAATAAGAACTCAATTCATCTAAATAATAACCCCATTAGCTGCTTAACTCAATAGTGCACATGGGAAAATTTTCAAACTGCAATGTAAAAAAAAGTGTTGATTGGGCGGATCGTTTTCAAGGTTTTGTTCTTTTAATGTACAAAATGATCATTTTAAGTAAGTCTAATATGTCATAACTAGTAGCTTTAGAGCACTTATGAGTTATGATAGAAGTTTTGTGTCCATATCAACTAATGTATATTTTGTCTTTCAATATCCAGCAACAGTACCATTCAAAAATAGATGATTTGATTGACAACACTGTAAAAGAAATCATTTCACTGCTAGTTTCAAAGGTAATGTATTATTTCTTCACCTTTTAAAATCAAATTTTAAAATAATCTTCAACTGATAATTTCAGAAATATCTGATATTTCTAAGTATCTAATTATCCAACTGGGTAACTGTAGTTTGAAAATTACATGCTACAGAAATTGTAATTTTAAGAAAAGTTGTAAACAATGAACAAGGCCTAGGGTTCAATCTCTAGCAAAAAGAAAGAGTGTGCGTGAAAGAGAGGAGAGAAAAATTATGAACAAAAAAAAAAAAAGATTTTGAGCAGTTCATCAAGAACTTCTGATATTTTTGTTCATAATGAATTTTTACTTTTTTGGCAAAAGTGTTATTCTTTTAAAAATAACTTCTTTCCCCAGTAATACCACTTACCATTTGTCTTAATTCCTGAGCGGATTAAATAATCCTCAGGCCTCCTAGTTGGCCCATTTGTTGTGAGGATAACATCAAGTCAGACTCAGAGACAGACAGGCAAAGCTGGAAGGATAGTGTCTGGTTCTTCAATCCAAAGACTTCCTGTTTGATACTTGAAAATTCTTTGACAAAAACTATGTCCTTTAACCATATATGTAGAGATGAAGTATAAATGGGTATGCCAGTTAGTGGTTAAAGGAATTAGAATCCCTCTAAGATGTAGCAGACTGCTATGGGTGTCATTTTAGATGGAGGGATGGGAGGGAGGGGGGGAGAACCTGAGAACACCAGGAACTTAAAGAGGGTGAGGAGTTATTGGTTAATGGTACAAGTTCACAGCCAGATAGGAATAACATAAAAGACGAATAAATAGAAAAGGACAAGTCAGGTTATCTCTGTTTGCAGATGATGTGAATACATGCATAGGAAAACCTAAGGATTCTACTAAAAGACTATTTGAACTGACATATAAATTTAGGAAATAGCAGATATAAAATCAATATACAAAAATCAAGAGCTTTTCTGTATACCACTAGTGAATTTACTAATAAAGAAATCGTGCGGCCC